ACATTAATAGGCAGTCACAAGGTATACATTGCCCTGTGGCAATGCAAAGAACCTGCTTCTGGGAGAAAAATCAGCCAGTGTTGCTAGGACATCAATGAAGCCATCAATGGAGGTATACATTTTATGAAATAAGAATGATGTTGTTGTTGTTGTTGTGTGCCATCGAGTCAGCCCCAACTCACAGTGACCCTCCTTGGGTTTCCAAGGTGGTATCACTATAGAAGTAGATTGCCCAACGTTCCTTCCGAGGAGTGGCTGGTGGGTTTGAACCACCAGCCTTCTGAGAAGTAGTCAAGTGCCTTAAGCACTATGCTACACAGCTCCTTTTGAATGATATAGTAGAACTAAATATACCATATGTAAAATGATTCTGTCTGTATGTGAAACATAAAGTCCATAAAATGTCTGATAATTACAGAAAATTTGAAAACAATGAAAGTTACATAGTACATCCCTTTGATTTTTTACTTCCACTGTAAAAACATGGGTCAATTTGGCTTTTTAAGTTGTTCTAGGCAGTTTTAATACTATTTATTTTCTTTCTCCCAAGAGTGTTCCTTTGTAAGTGCTTGGTATGATTACATGATTTAATTGTTCCATGGGGATGGGCTGGCAAAGATTAGACAGTCTTGAAGATATTCCAGAATAATCAAGAAACAGTCACTCAACAAAATATAATAGTCACCATAGTAATGATGATGACTAGTAGTTAAGGTTGTGTGTCAAGTTGGCTGGGCCTTGATTTTGAGTGGCATGGCAGCTGGATGCAGTTACTCTGTGATGAGACTGTATGTGGTGTAATCACCTCCATGGAGAATCTGCTGTGAGAGGTTAATCAGTGGAAGGGGAGTTGCCTTTGGTGTGTGGCCTGAGTCCGTATATAGGGGAAAGATCTCTAGCATTTTGGTGCATTTTGGACCGTGCTGTGTACTGATCTTGGGAGTGTTCCTAGACTTGAATCAGTGACCTGCTGTGTTCCCTGCTGATCTTGGGATTGTGCCATTTTACCTCAGCAACCAGTAGCTGCATGAGTTACAACTCTCCAGCTCCAGTAGCCCCGAATAGGAGGTAGTGCTAAAGCCCAAGCCTGAAGGGCCTTTACCCAGCCCCTAGAGCCGGCACTCTGAATTTAGACTTCTAGCTTCTTAAAGTGTAAGAGAATATATTCCTGCTTGTTAAAGCCATCCATTTGTGGTATGTCTGTTATAGAAGTACTAGAGAACTAAGACAATGACTACGTAGCAATGTTGATAATATTCACTACACAATGAAAAACTAAAAATTCAAAGCTTTATCTTTATTAAGATTATAATTATGTAAACATCATATACTATTAAGACAATTGTGATGAACCAGAAAGGTTGCCAAGTGGTTAAGGCATTGGACTTAAAGATACAATGGGCCACATGGGTTTGAACTCCACTCTCAGTAAATCACCTTGTCACAATCTCTGTGGCACAATTGGTTAATGAATTCAGCTGTTAAATGAAAGACCGGTGCTCTGAGCTCACCCAAGGATGTGACACTCCAATCTGATGAGGAGTCTGGTGGTACAGTGGTTAACTGCTTGGCTGCTTGAATCTACCAGCTGCTCTGTGGAAGAATAATGAGGCAGTCTGCCTCTGTAAAGATTATAGCCTTAGAAATTCTATGGGGATTCTATTGTGTCTTCTAGGATCACTATGAGTTAGAATTGACTTGATGGCAAAGAGGTTTTTTTTTTGTTTGTTTGTTTGTTAGAGTACTGGGTTTACTTCTGTAAGGCTCATTAACTAGGCAGTGTCTGGATCTTACCAACTACTAGAAGAAGGGGAGCCAAATGCTAGGTGTGAGTTGCTTCTCAAAAAGCCTACCAGACATGGTTTCTCTCTTTCAGCTGCAACTGGACAAAACTGTAAATGCCACAAGCCCATTAATATATTCCTTGATAATCTAATTTATTACTTACAAATACTGCAATAGCAGTTTTTCTCTATTTTCCATCTTTCTCCAAGTTACATTATTTTCACAATTAAAAAAATAATAGATCTGTAAAATTAAAAACAATATATTCTCCCATTATACCCTTTCATGTACCTCAAAGTTCACACATTCTCAAAGACACCTCAAAGTGAACATTGCTATTTATCCTTAGGCTAATCACTTAAACTGTTTCCTAATCTGTAAAACTGGGATGCTCTCAGCTTTGCCTATATCATAAGGCAGCTGTATGTGAGAAGCACCATGCACAGTACAAAACCTACAGCATTTAAAGCCAGTTAGTCATGCATTCTAATTCTAGCTCTGAAACTTACTAGATGTGTGACACTGGGCAAATTATAGAACTTCTCAGAGTCTTAAGTATAAAGTAGGTAACATGTGCCTGAGAGAGTACATGAATGTTAATACCTCATACAGTGCCTGATATACAACAGATGCTCACTAAATGGTAATAGTTACTACTGTAACAGTGCTTTAAAAACCTCAAAGCATATCATGCACATGCAAAGTGTTGATGATGATAATAAAAAGAAAAGGGGGAGAAAAGGATATGAACAGAAGTGATAAAAGCAGAGAAGCACAGTGTTGGGAGTGAAAGTACAGATGTGTCTGGAGAAATGTAAGCAGCATGACATGGCTGCAGGATAGGTCACCTGAGGAAATTAAATTAGAAGTTTAGACTAAAGTAGAGTCTGATTTTCATTCTCAAGAATATGGGGAATCATTGAAGGCATTTTGTGGAAAAAAAATATATAATAAGACAAAACATGTTTTAAGTAAATTACTATTTGGAAATGTGCAGGCTGGGATGGAGGAGAAAGGCTGGAGGTTGTCCATGTGGTTTGGAGAAAAGAAGCCAGAGAAATGGGGATGTGGCTAGATGTGAGGACCATGAAGAATAGATAAGAAGCTGTTACAACAACCCAAACGAAGTAAGAAAAAACCAGCAATGGTATGAGTGGTAATGGAATGGAGATAACAGACAAAAGAAACATTTCGATCATCTTCACGAATAAAAATAGGAAATAAGAGAAGGGAGGTTCCATATGATTTCAAGGTTTCAAGTAGGGGTCGAGGAGACTGTTAATTCAATTGTTCATGAGGGAAGAGGAATAGGTATGTAAGGGAAGATAATGAGGTCAATTTTGGACAAGAGGGGTTAAAGGCATTTAAAGAGATGTTCAATACGCAAAACCTAGGAGAGACACACAGATTTCTCATGTATATCTGGGAGCCAAAGATATGAGAATTGACAAGAAGAGAACTGCATGAGAATAGTGACCCTACCTTGGGTTTCCGAGGCAGTATCTCTACGGAAGTAGATCGCCCAGTCTTTCTTCTAAGGAGTGGCTGGTGGGTTTGAACTACCAGCCTTCTGGTTAGCAGTCAAATGCCTTAGGCACTATGCCACCAGAGCTCCCAAAGAAAGTTTAGGGCCTGCGATATCATAAATTATTTAATAAATTATTTAAAACATAAGAGAGAAAGAGACTGGCTAAATGAATCCTCCAATAGCAATGGACTTCAATGGGGATAATATGGAATGAAAGTGACAACAGTAATATCTACAAACACTGTATTACGTTACTAATAACTTTTACATTAAGCTATAGAAGTAAAACATAAAATCACTGGGTTCCTTTAGGTATAGAAATCAGAACTGGTCAAAACTCAATGCTTCTAAATTTCTTCTATGAAATTAAACAAAATCTTCTTTCCATACCAATAAATATCCAAAGGAGACTAATTAAAAATTTTAGTGTTTATTTACATATTGCATATTTTTAAAAGTTTAGGGGAGAAAAAAGAAGTTGCAATAGAAAATCAGCAAATGCTCATAAACCTGCCTGTCTCTAACACTTAGGGGAACAGGATGATTGGAGTCTTGATGGCAGAATTTCAAATGTCCCAATCAGTTGTCAAGGAAGTGCCACACTTGCTCTGTGTTTAAAATGGGAGAGGAAGGGGGTTAAAGAAGAGGGTCAGGGAAGGGGAGAGGAGGAAGGGGGAGTGAGGAAGGGGGAGTGAGGAAGGGAAGGATAAGACAAATTTCATTTAGACCGTTAGGAGGTATTTAGGCAGATAAAAACAGTCATAAGTTTAATACTTCACATTCTTTGTTTAAAGCTACTTCTCTAAGTCCCCTCATTGGCTCAAGCATTATTTGAAACTACATTAAAAATTCTGGAGTCTTTCCACTTTATTTCTCACACCTATTCAGGTCATCTTAATCTTAATGCCTGTTGAGCAACACATAAGTTAGTATTCTACCTACAGAATGAAAGGTCTAGAAAAAGTTTGCATTGTGAAATCTGCCTGCCTGTCAAATACTTCAAATGGGATAGTATTGTAGAAAAACAATCTGCTGGCATACCATGTAAGGAATGCAGCTTGCTTTTCCGTGAAATCATGTTTATGGACTTGCTGCTTTCTAAACATCTTAGAACTCACAGTAAACAGTTCTCATTTTCTCTACAAATTGAATGTTCTAATATTTTATATTAAAACAGAAGGCAAAAGCTTTGCAACCTTTTGAAAGAAAAGTGATTTGTGCATATGCTTATATTTTGAAAATTTTACCACAGAACATATTTACTTATTTCTCAAGCCAGCTTCAAATGGCAATAAAAAATATGGCAAGCATTTTAAAACCTACTATAACCTTTGATTTTAAAATCTTCAGTTAAAGTAGGTGACTCATTAAGATCTTGAGTGAAAAAGACAATTTCCCAGATTCATATAATTGGAGTCTTTTCAGATTTATCAGAACTAGTCGAAATCTCTCAGTATTTAATAAAAAAAAAGTCACTATGCAATCAAACCATTTCTAGGCTAGAACAGTAAATGCACTCCTACTCATTTTCATGATTTCATTTTCAAATTAGTCAATATGGTATTTCAGGTGGAAATTTGAATGACTATTTAAAATGTTTTACTTTGTTTCTATAACTTTTAAATCATTCTATTTAATTTATTTTTTGGTTCCCATTACCAATGAGCAAATTTATACACTTAGTTTCTTAAGGACCAAAATATACCATACCTTCTTCATTACTTTCTTTATTCAGTGAAGTCGGTACCTGAAAGACAGGAACCAAGAAAGAATCTCTGTTATAATGAATATTTATATGTGGAATTTGCATCCAGAAAAGCCTTTTTTTTTCCTCTTATCTTCATGGAATTATAGAACAGAGCTTACACACAATGGTTCTCCAACCTGAAAAAGTAATTATTCCTCTTTGCCTTTTGATTATCACTGTCGATTCTTTCAGATAAACAATTCACAGATTTAGAGTCAATATATATACATAGTTTATATATATATAAACAACACAACGTACTGCCGTTGAGTCGGATCCGACTCATAGCGACCCCTCCTTGGGTTTCCAAGGCAGTATCACTATGGAAGTAGATTGCCCAACCTTCCTTCCAAGGAGTGGCTGGTGCATTTGAACTGCCAGCCTTCTGGTTAGCAGTCAAATGCCTTAGGCACTACACTACCAGAGATCTTTAAACATTAAAAAAAAAAAAGAAAACCTGCATTAAAATATTTTCTTATTAATTCCTGAGAATTTCTGAATACTTTCAGCTTTTAAATTAATAAAGAAATAAAAAATAAAAATTTTAATTAAAAAAATTAAAGCATGCTTGAAAATATTTTCTGTCATTAACCCATGGGAACTATTTAAAACTTTATTGCTAGAACTATGAAGAGAAGAGTGAGAGATTTTCTTTCAATTGCTTCCTTGGCTGAGGTCTCAGAAAAGAAACATCACACACACCTTTTTTTTTTTTTTTTTAAGTATATTCTCTCTTACTCAGCTTAGCTTACTTACTTAGCTGCTCACTCAGCCTACTTGTCCACCTGTAGACTGATATTTGTCATTACTGATCATGCAGTATTGTGTATGTGGAAGTGTTTGCCTCTGCTGTCAGTACCTCCTGTGCACCTCACTGTAGCCCCCACATTCTTTTCCTTAGCATTACTGTATTGGTCACTTGCTTTTGATATATTGCCTTTCCCTTTACCCAAATCAATACTTGTCTCTTATCCATCCAACAGTTTTTCCTCTCAAACATACACATTATGTGTGCAGAAATAAACACATTATTTATTTAGCTATTTTTTAAAAAATTCTAGAATTTTTAATTAATTGGTCTTTACTTTCACATCTGAGCCAAGACCTTAGAATGGATGTAATACAATCTATGGTAGATAAATTTAAAAGGAAGGTTTTTTTTTTTTTAAGAGTTGTACCATTTTCCCCTTAAAAATGACAATATAAAGTTTTTTCCTTTTAATGTTTTCCTGGGAGGTCCATTATCCATAGAGGAAAGTGTGAAAGTCTATACATTTAGTTTAAAAGATAATTAAGAGTAAACATCCCTGTAACCATCACTCAAGAAAAAAGTGGAAATGCCAGACTTCTCCGCAATCACAACTCTTCCTCTTTAGTGAAACCACTAGGCAGATATTCTAACAGACTTTTCAAACTGCAAATTTAATAATCAATTTCTTATTCTCTAAATTTGCTTAGCCTCAGTGAGGAAAGATCCATTTCTAACATTTGTGAGGTATGGGGCAAAGATACAAAAGGAGGAACACACCCTATACAACTAAATATTCTTATAAATCAAGGTAACAAAATGATAGGAGTCCTTGGACAGTGCAACCAATTATGTGCTCAGCTACTAACCAAAAGATTGGCACTGAGAAACTACCCAGAGCTGTTTGGAAGACAGTCCTGGATGTCTACTTCTAAGAGATCACAGCTATTGAAAACCTACAGAGCACAATTTTAATATGGAACACATGGGGTCCCCGTTAGCTGGAATCAACTTAACACTAACTAGTTTTTGGCATTTATCAAAGTGATAAATAGAGTATAAAGTATGTTCCATCCTACTGTCTTTGCAATGACTTAGAAGTTCTCATTTAGAATTCTGGACACCTTGAGACACATGCCAGATGTGGTAGAGTGAGGAAAAGAGACAGGTGGCCATTATTCTGTCTCTACTTACCTTCTTACCCTAGGGTACATTCTGCATAATCAGGGCTACATCTACACATGGGGTAGACGTAGCCCACACATCTGGGGTCTAGCTACCCTCTGCCTCCAAAAGGCCACTACAGCCCCAGAGAAGTAATTGAGCACATCATCTACACACTCAAGAGCATGCACCTGGGGAGATACTCATGCAGTCCCAGGAAAAGGCTGGAAGCTATATGAGCAAAGAATATTAGAGTCCTGGGCAGCCTGACAGTGGTTTAGAAAGAGGTCATGGGTTCATGAGTCCATAACTTTGGCCCCTAAGTCTTCTAGCCCTTGGTGGAGGGGTGTGACTTGAAGAGGGCCAAACCAGAACCTTCTAAAATGCAAGACCCAAGGCAGGGGAATCCTTGCTAGCGTCTAAGGGTGGTACTAGATAGGAACGACTTTGCAAGTAGAAAAATGTAAATTTTAGCAATATTTAAACAACATTCCCCTAAATAATAAATAAGTAGCACAGTGGTCAGGCACTCATCTGCTAAGCAAAAGGTTGGTGGTTGAAACCCACCAACTGCTCCACAAGAGAAAAATGAGGCAATCTGCCTCCATAAAGATTACATACAGCCTTGTAAACCCTATGGAGCAGCTCTACTCTGTCCGATGGGGTTGTTAGGAGTCAGAACTGACTTGGTAACAACAGGTGAATAATAAATGATTTCAAGTAAATTCTCCTTCTACTTTAAGAGAATAGTGATAAAATATGCTTTGATCTTCTTTATGTCACAGAAAAGGATGAGGTGATTAAATAAATAAGAAACACTTATGTGCAAATATTATATAACATGTACCTGAGACTTTCCAACTACTTCAAAAAAAAAAAAGAAGAAGAAGAAGAAAAACTCTATTTAGCTTCCTCAAGCACAGAAAGTGCTAACTGTCCTGGGTTTTGAGGATGGCAGGACTGAAATCTGGGTGGGACAGTACTAATATGACATAAAAAATACATATATAGTCATTAAGATGAGGCCTTTGGGGACCAGGTTTGCTGTTCTGATAGAGCCTGGTGGAACCACTGAGACTACGGCCCCTAGCTGCCCTTCAGGTCTGGAATTGAACCCACACCTGTGGCTTCCAGCCAAACAAAAGACAGGCATATGAGTTGAAC